CGGCTCCGGCCGGCAGCGGGCGGGCGGCACAGCCGGCGCTCGCCGTTTCCCCCTTTTCCTCCCCAAAACGGCGGCAGGTCCTTCTGGGCATCTTCTTCAACGTGCACTCGGCCGTGCTCATCGAGGACGTGCCCTTCACCGACGAGGACTTCAAGGAGTGAGCGGGGGGGGGGACACCCGTTGATTTTGGGGGGGGGGCACCTCCTTTTGGGGCTGGAAAAGCTGCTGTTCTGGTTCTGGGTAAAATTCGTTGTTTTTCTGGTTTTTTTGGGGTGATTGACCCCCATTTTCCGCCTTTTCTGGGGGAGGTTTTCTGTTCTTCGTGGGGTTCCCTGTTTTGGAGGGCAGGGATGAGCCCCTGCTTTGGGGGACGGGGTCGAACCCCGTTTTGAGGGGTGACAGGCGATCAACCCCCCCCATTGTGGGGGGACAGGTTCGGGGAGAGGGTCAAGTCCCCGTTTTGGGGCACAGGATCGAGCCCCATTTTTGGGGGGTGAAACAGGTGACGAGGACAGGGTCAGCCCCCCGTTTTTGGGGAGGGGGGCCAGGCTGGCGCCCCAACTTTAAGGTCCAGGGCCAACCCCCATTTCGGGGTGACAGGGGACCATCAACCCCCATTGCCGGTACAGCCGGAGAGCCCCCGCGTCCTCATTCACCCGGACAACAGCCCGGCGGGTGTCCCCCGGCAGGCGCCTCGCGGTGCGACTGTTGTTGTCCCCCGCAGCGGCCCGGAGCGGATCTACCGCCTGTACGAGCAGGTCAGCTACAACTGCTTCATCGCCGCCGGCCTCTACGTGCTGCTCGGCGGCTTCTCCTTCTGCCAGGTCCGCCTGAACAAGCGCAAGGAGTACATGGTGCGCTAGGCGCAACACCCGCCGCCGCCTGTTCCTCCTTATCTAACCCCCCCGGGCCCGCCCCGGGGTCCCTCGTGACCCCCGAATCCCCCTTCCCCCCCACACGTGCGCGGTTTCCACCCACATTCCTGTTTTTCCCCTCGTCTTGCGATTGTTTTATTGGGATTTTTTGGGGAGGGGGCGGGGGGCACAGGAGCTGCCCCCCCCCCCCCCTTTATGGACCAGTCTCCAATAAAGCGCGTTGGGACACGGCGCCCTCGGGCTGTATTTCTTGGGGGGGGGGGATCATTTTGGGGGGTTGTTTCTATTTTTCCCCTATTTTATTTTTTCTCCTTCCCCTGTTTTATTTTTCCCCTATTTTATTTCTTCCCCTCTATTTTCCCCTCTCTTTATCAATTTTCTTATTTATTTATCTGTTTATTTATCTATTTGTTTGCTCATTTATTAATTTATTGGGGGGGCAAGGCCTCCAAGCGAGTTCAAAATCTACCGCCCGGGGCGGAGCCGGGACCATAGAGCGCAGCCCGGAAGTGCCCGCCGACCATAGAGGCGCGGGTGGGCGGGGCTTGGCGGGCGGAGGGGGCGGGGCCCGGCTCCGGAGCGGGGCGGGCCGCACCATAGAGACGCGGTGGGCGGGGCTTGGCGGGCGGAGAGGGCGGGGCCCGGCTCCGGAGCGGGGCGGGCCGCACCATAGAGACGCGGTGGGCGGGGCTTGGCGGGCGGAGAGGGCGGGGCCCGGCTCCGGAGCGGGGCGGGCCGCACCATAGAGACGCGGTGGGCGGGGCTTGGCGGGCGGAGAGGGCGGGGCCCGGCTCCGGAGCGGGGCGGGCCGCACCATAGAGACGCGGTGGGCGGGGCTTGGCGGGCGGAGAGGGCGGGGCCCGGCTCCGGAGCGGGGCGGGCCGCACCATAGAGACGCGGAGGAGGCGGGGCTTGGGTAGGAAGGAGGCGGGGCGTGCCGCACCGTAGACGCGCGGGCGGGCGGGGCTTGCGGCGGAAGTGGGCGGGGCGTGCCGCACCATAGAGACGCGGGCGGTGTCCGGCGCGGAGCCTCCCCGCCGGGTTCGCCGGCCCGCGCCGCCACCATAGAGGAGCCGGGGCCCGAGCGGCGGCGGCGGCGGCCGGAGGGGCCGGGGGGGGGAGCTATGACGTCAGCTTCCACCAAGGTGGGGGGGGGACCGCGTGCGGGGGCGGGGGGCGGTTCCGGTGCCGGTGCCGGTGCTGGTGCCGCCACGCGCCGCTCCCCCCAGGTGGGCGAGATCTTCTCGGCCGCCGGCGCCGCCTTCTCCAAGCTGGGGGAGCTGACGATGCAGCTGCACCCCGTGGCCGACTCCTCGCCGGCCGGGTGAGTGGGGCGCCGTGGGGCGCCGTGGGGCGCCGTGGGGCTGGGCGGGTCCCCGTGGGGTCAATGTCATCCCCGTGGGGCTGTGACATCTCCGTGGGGTTCGTGGAGAACGTCTATGAGGGTCCCTATGGGCCCCATGGGTCTCCCCTTTACAGTTATGGGGTCGCCATGGGGCTGGGCGGGTCCCTATGGGGTCCTGGAGGTCCCCGTGGGGTCCCCATGGGGTCAATGTTGTCCCCATGGGGGCTGTGACATCTCCATGGGGTTCGTGGAGAACCTCTATGAGGGTCCCTATGGGGCCTGTAGGGTTCCCCATACACCTATGGGGTCGCCATGGGGCTGGGTGGGTCCCTATGGGGTCCTGGAGGTCCCCGTGGGGTCCCCGTAGGGTCAATGTTGTCCCCATGGGGGCTGTGACATCTCCATGGGGTTCGTGGAGAACCTCTATGAGGGTCTCTATGGGGCCTGTTGGGTTCCCCATACAGTTATGGGGTCGCCGTGGGGCTGGGCGGGTCCCTGTGGGGTCCCAGAGGTCCCTGTGGGGTCCCCATGGGGTCAGGGTTGTCCCCATGGGGGCTGTGACATCTCCATGGGGTTCGTGGAGAACCTCTATGAGGGTCCCTATGGGGCCCATGGGTCTCCCCTTTACAGTTATGGGGTCGCTATGGGGCTGGGCGGGTCCCTGTGGGGTCCCACCCCTGGGCCCGGGTGTCCCCACTGTGGAGGTCCATGGGGCAGGAGGGCACCCCAGGGGACGCTGTGGGGCAGGACTAGGGGCATGAGGGGACCCCGGGGCCACGAGGTCAACCCGGGTGGCTTTAGGGCCACCAGGGCCTTGTTGGGGACCCCGTGGGGCAGTGGGGACCCCGTAGAGCCCCCCATGGGGCAGTGGGGACCCTGTGGGGCAGTGGGGACCCCCAGGACCCCATGGGGCAGTGGGGACCCCGTAGAGCCCCCCATGGGGCAGTGGGGACCCTGTGGGGCAGTGGGGACCCCCAGGACCCCCATGGGGCAGTGGGGACCCCGTGGGGCAGTGGGGACCCCCAGGACCCCCATGGGGCAGTGGGGACCCCGCGGGGCAGTGGGGACCCCCAGGACCCCCCATGGGGCAGTGGGGACCCTGTGGGGCAGTGGGACCCCCAGGACCCCCATGGGGCAGTGGGGACCCCGCGGGGCAGTGGGGACCCCCAGGACCCCCATGGGGCAGTGGGGACCCCGTGGGGCAGTGGGGACCCCCAGGGCCCCCCGTGGGGCAGTGGGGACCCCGTGGGGCAGGGGGACCCCCAGGACCCCCGCGGGGACCCCCGGCCGCCCCCCAGGGCCAAGTGGACGGAGACGGAGCTGGAGCTGCTGGGCGCGGCGGTGCAGCGCTTCTGCGAGGACCTGCAGCGCATCAGCGCCCTCATCAAGGACCGCACGGTGTAAGGGGGGGCTGCGGGGACCCCCCCGGCCCCCCGGGCCCCCCCGGTGTCACCGCGTCCCCCCCGCGCAGGGCGCAGCTCAAGGCGACGGCCAAGCGCAAGGCCTACGAGGACAGCGGGGTGGCCCTGCCCCCCGACTGCTCCCCCAAGAAGGGGGGGCGCAAGGGCCCCGGCGGCCCCCCCGCCCCGGGGGGGGCCCTGCCCGACCCCCCCGGCAAGAAGCAGAAGGTCTCGGGTGAGTGGGATATGGGGGGGGGGGGGCTGGTTCCCCCCCCCCGCCAAGTCCTCAAGGAACCAACTTGGGGTACGGGGACACCCCAGTTTCATCACTGGGGTCCCCAGTGTCCCCTGGGCCCCCCCCCAGCTGCCCTCTCCTCCCTGACACCCCAGTTTCATCACTGGGGTCCCCAGTGTCCCCTGGCCCCCCCCAGCTGCCCTCTCCTCCCTGACACCCCAATTTCATCACTGGGGTCCCCAGTGTCCCCTGGGCCCCCCCAGCTGCCCTCTCCTCCCTGACACCCCAGTTTCATCACTGGGG